GTTTCCAACTTTTGCATTCCAGTCACCAGTGATAATTAACACATCCTGATTGCATGTTTGGTCAATTTCAGACTGTAGAAGCTGATAAGATTCTTCAATTTCCTCATCTGTGGCTTTGGTGGTTGGGGCATAAATTTGAATAACAGTCATATTAGAGAGATGCAATTCAAAACAACAATGAGATATCATATCACTCAAGCAATGATAGCAAAGTTCAAAAAAAAAAAAAAAGAAAAAGAATACAACAAATGCTGGTGAGAGTGCAGAGTTTGGAATTCTCTTACAGTGTGGGTGGGACTGTAAAATGGTATAACCACTGTAGAAAATTATTTGGTGCTTCCTTAAAAAGCTGGAAATAGAGATCAAAAGAGCAGCTTTTGCTCAGGGATAAAGCTCAAAAGGCAGGAAGGGATAGGAAAGAAAGACAAATGGAAACACAGGAAACCTACAGGCAGGAAAGGGGAGAGTGATGTTACATTGTAGGGATTGCAATCAATGTCAAGAATCAAAATGTGTATGAATTGTTGAATGGAACACCAACTTGCTACGCAAACTTTCATACAAATCACAATAAAAAGTAAAAAAAAAAAAATAAAGACTTGAGGTTTAAAAATATCATTTAAAAGACAAGTTGAACAATAAAAAAAAGTTGGAAACAGAAATATCATATAATCCAACAATCCCACTACTAGGTATATATCCTACAGAAATAAGAGCCATAACACAAATAAATATATGAACACCCATGTTCATCACAGCCTTATTCACAATAGCAATAAGATGAGAACTACCTAACTGTCCATCACATAGACAATGGAATATTATGCAACATTAAAGAATAACAAGGATTCCATGAAATACCTCATAACATGGAAGAACCTGGAGAGTGAAATTAGTCTATACTAAAAGACCTATTTAAAAAAAAAAAAAGTCTAAGACAAGGTTTACACATAGAAAGAAACATTCTTTGATGGTTACAAGGGATGGGATGGGAATGGAGAGTAAATCACTAACTAGAGAGTAGACACATATCAACTTGGGTGAAGGGAAAGGCAATATACGATAAAGAGGAGGGCAGCAAATCATGCCAAAGTAAAGGAAGACACTGGGAGGTGCACAAGAGTAAAAGACAACAAAGTTTAATACTACTACATACACAATCCTGCAATAACAGTAATGATAAACGTATCTATGAGTAGATACATAGGTAGACATGCAAGCTGAACGGATGTGGGAAGGCAAACGGGAATACACCCCTGAGTGTATACAGGTTTGGCATAGGATTTTGCCACAAATGGATTTGTATGTGCTGCACATATATCCAAGGATACAGTAGAGCATACAAGGGGCAAAATTATGAAACTTTAGCCATAACCAAACATCTTGAGGTAATGAGTCACTAGGCTTGGAGACTTAGGACTATAGTCTCGGGGACATCTAGGTCAATTGGCATAACATAGTCCACAAAGACAATGTTCTACATCCCACTTTGGTGAGTAACGACTGGGGTCTTAACAGCTTGGGAGCAGCCATCTAAGGTGCAACTATTGGTCTCTCACTGTCTGGAGCAAAGAAGAATGAAGACAATCAAAGATTCAAGGAAACAATGGACTACATGAACCATAGCCTCCACCAGTCTGAGCCAGAACAACCAGATGGTGCCCAACTACCACTACCAACTACTCTGATCAGGATAACAATAGGTCATAGACAGAGAGGAAGAAAAAAAAAATGTAGACCAAAATTCAAAATCATAAAAAAGACCAGACTTACTGATCAGATAGAGACTGGTAGAACCCCCGAGACTGTGGCCCTCAGACACGTTTCAAGCCTAGAACTGAATTTACTGCCAGGGATCAACTTTCAGCCAAATAAGAGGCCTATAAAGTGATTAATAACACTAGGGTGGAATTTACTCCTCAGGTCAAACAACCATAGGAGACCAGAAGGGCAGCAGCATCTGCCCTGAAACAAAACTCAGAAGGCAGAAAAGAAGGGCAAATGGAAACGAGGAACCCAGGGAGGAAGTGAGAAGGGTGCAATTGAGGCAATTGCAACCAATGTCATGAAATAAAACGTGTACAAATCATTTGAATGGAAAACTAATTTGCTTTGTAAACTTTCACCCAAACTACAATTAAAAAGAAAGAAAGCTTTAACCAGAGGAAGAAAAGGAGGCAGAGAATTCTACATAGAAGGAACAGCCTACATTCAGGTTTGTAAGCAAAAGATAATATGACATGATTGAGGAACTGAAAGTCATTGAGTTCAGCAAGATAAGGCCGGACAGGGATGGCAAGAGATGAAGCATGAGAGGTCATGGAGTGCAAAGAAGTTTGGACTTTTTCCTTTAGTTGATAGAGAGCTACTTGGGTATTTTATGTATAGCGACTTGATTAGAGAAATGTGTTGAAAGAGCACCTTGGCAACAGTGTGGAGAATGAATTGGAGGAGGGAAGATTGGGAGCAAGATTAGGAAGATGTAACTCTAGTCCAGGTGAGAGAGGATGGTGAAGCCCTGAACTAGAGAAGTAGCCATGAGGATGAGAGAAGGGAGTTACAGATTGGAGATAGATTCAAGAGGCAGAACTGTGGGACATCGTGGCTGTAGAATCTGGGGAGTAAGTGAGAGAGAGGTGTCAAGGATCACTTCCCAGATTTTTGGTCCCACACAAGAGGATGGATAGAGGTATCATTCTGTGACACAGGGAGCCCAAGGAAGAACTATTTGGGGAGAGTGGTGATACAGAGTTGATGAGTTGTGAATTTGAGACTTCCAAGTAAACATTTTAAATAGATGACTGTTCTATCAGTCTTGAAGCTCAGGAAGGAGGTGTATGCTGGAAAGATATATCTGGAAATCCCAATGGAAGGGTGGCAGATTAAGTCATGGTAGTGGATAAGACTGCTCAGGGACAGTGCTGATTGAGAAAGGGATGGATGTCTGAGCAATACTCACATTTGAGAGATGAGTAGGGAAAGAGAAATCTTGAGGAAGGCTAAAATGGAAGAGCCAGACTGCGGTGGAATGAAGAATTAGTGGGCTAGTGGGTCTTATAAAGGATGGGGACAAAGATGTGCCCTTGACTCTTAGTGTCCTGAACCTTGGCAAGAGTGGGAGCTTTCTGAACTCTTCAAAATCCAAGTCAGCTCTGATTCTAAATGATGGGCTGGATGCCTGCCTCTCACAAAGCCCACTGTTCCGGGGGTTTCCTTTCCTCTGTTTGCCCTAGTACCCCTGAAAGGATGGCCCAGGAAATTGCAGGGCTCCTCCAGGCCCTAGAACAACCTTTGCTCTCATCATCTGAGAGGGCTAGGGCTGGTGGAGGTATCTATTAGGAGATCAAAGAGGAAATACCTGGGTGTGTTGCACATACAGGAGGACTTAGGCTAGCCTGGTGCGGGGATGGGTACGGCTGGGAGACCCTGAACTGTCAGGGTTATGGGCAAAAGGCTTTGTTGCCCACCCCAGCCGTTCCTGGAGTAGATTTCTATCATGGCAGGCTGACCCAGGTGTAGGCCAGTGCTATTGAGGCCCTTGGAGATGTAAGAGGCCCCTAACAAGTTGGAGTCCAAAGTAGCATCCTAGGACCTGTTCTTCCTGATCCAGTGCTCTGGAGTTTGGCCTCAGTCTGCTCTTGGGGGGCCCTGTGGCACCGTTCCTGGGCAACGTGTTAAACAACAGGCTTTGGAGACAGAGCCCTGACAGCCAAAGGCCTGACCCTGGAGTGAGCACAGCTACTGTCACTGCTCTCCAGTGTCAGATTACCCAATAGGCAAGGTAAGCATGGGCTTACTTGTGCTTACTTAGTACTAATCTGTAGAGAAGGATTTCACGTTTTTTCACCACATCAATGATTCTGCTTCAATGGCTGGACTCTCTGCCACTGAACCCCATAGCACCTTCCTACAAAATCAAAGCCTCTTTTCAAATTTATAGTCCCTGACAGGGATGGAGTACTTGTGCTTACTTACTAATCTGTAGTGAACAGTTTCACTATCTCACCTTGTTTACCGGGTAATCCACCCTACTGCCATCACTACCTCGGAAACCAGGCACTTGTCTGGCCCCTGGTTTTGTCTGGCTGCCAACCTAAGGCATGTGCCTACGCAGGAGGCGATGACATTTTGGCTCCACTTTCAAAGTTTTTTTTTTTTTTTTTTTTTCCTTTCTCGTGTTATTTCTAAAGATAACAAAGGTCAAAAGGCATCCAGCATTTTCTGGTTTCTCATAAGCTTCTGGTCAATATTTAATCTGGTTTATGGATTTTTTTTTTAGGTCTTCTAGATGCCTTCTTGAGCCTATTTGTAGCCACCCACAGACACTTTTAAGGAGGAGAGAAGTCGACCTGGTAGAGAAAATCTGAAATGAGGGATTAGAGGCTGGGATCCAAGGAGAAAGAGCTGCAGTCAGAAGATAAGCGAGCAGGCCCTGAAAATACTTCTACTGAGAGGTCTGCCATGGCCTCTCTTGGCCTTCAACTTGTGGGCTACATCCTGGGCCTTCTGGGACTCTTGGGCACCCTGATTGCCATGCTGCTTCCCAGCTGGCGAACAAGTTCTTACGTTGGTGCCAGCATTGTGACGGCAGTCGGCTTCTCCAAGGGCCTCTGGATGGAATGTGCCACTCACAGCACGGGCATTACTCAGTGTGATATCTACAGCACTCTTCTAGGCCTGCCCTCTGATATCCAGGCTGCCCAGGCCATGATGGTAACCTCCAGTGCAATCTCTTCGCTGGCCTGCATGATTACTGTGGTGGGCATGAGATGCACAGTGTTCTGCCAGGACTCTCGAGCCAAAGACAGAGTGGCGGTAGTGGGCGGAGTCTTCTTCATCCTTGGAGGCCTCCTGGGCTTCATCCCTGTTGCCTGGAATCTTCATGGTATCCTTCGGGACTTCTACTCCCCACTGGTTCCTGACAGCATGAAATTTGAGATCGGAGAGGCACTCTACTTGGGCATTATTTCCTCCCTGTTTTCCCTGGTAGCCGGAGTCATCCTCTGCTTTTCCTGCCCATCCCAGGGAAACCGTTCCAACTACTATGATGGCTACCAGGCCCAGCCCCTTGCCACCAGGAGCTCTCCAAGACCTGGTCAACCACCCAAAGGCAAGAATGAATTCAACTCCTACAGCCTGACAGGGTATGTGTGAGGAGCCAGGGGCCAGAGCTGGGGGGTGGCTGGGTCTGTGAAAGCCAATGAACAGTCCCCCAGAGCCACAGGTGAGGGACACTGCCACTGGATCGTGACAGAAGGTGCTGCTGAGGACAGACTGACTTTGGCCATTGGATCAAGAGAAGGCAGAATGGGGAGCTGGTGTGGCAGCATGCAGGTTGAACTGTCAAGGATGACTGCCAAGCCAGGCTTTCTGTTTCCCTCACCTTTCCCCTCACCTCCTGCCCTAAGCCCTCAACCACCCCCCCCAATTCCAAGCACCACTCCTTTACCCTAGGCCAGGCCCCCAGAGACTCCCCTCTGCCCTTTTTGTTTACATGAGAATCCATCCAAAACCCCACTAATTACATTCCACTTTCTGTGATGAAAGATGCTCCCTCTGGCTGAGGTTGGTTCTTAGCTCATTGCCGGGGTGGGGGGGAGGGGGGAGAGGAGTGGTGGCTTTTTAGAGGCACTGCTCTAATCTCCTTCTCAAGTCTCCCTCCAAAAAAACTGATTGGGCCCTGGAGTCTGCATCCCACTCTTGTGACTCCAGTTTCGTGTGTGAACTGAAATAAAGTCATCTCACGGTAACAAGAGAACAACTGGGTACAAGATGAGAGGGAGGGAAGGCAACTTGGAACCAAAACAGAACCATAGCCCAGGGCATTTCCCAGAATTCCCTCACGCTCCTAGGTGGGAGACCAGATCTCTACCCAGGGCTAGAGGAAAGCACAAGGAAAGAAGATACGGTGAAAAGCTAATGGCAGCAGCAGACTCTGATTCCACTGAGGAACTCCCTCGGAAGCTGCAGCCCTAACTTTCGCTGAAGCACTTGCCTCCCTCTGGGGCAGCTAACCTTGTCTCCTGCATATACAACAAACTAAGGGCCCTAGACAAGGTTTCCTTAAGAACAGGAAACCCGTTTTCTAGAGATGGTCCTTGGCTGGGGGGATGACAGCACACAAGCTGAGAGACTAAGGAAGATACTACTCCTTCTTGACATTGGCTGAGAAAGAATATGAACTTTGGTGTCTAAGAAGCTGGGTGGAGAAGTTGGTGGTGCCAGTGGGTGTTTCTGCTGGACTAGAGAGAAGCAACCTGCAGAGAACCCACAGGCCTAATGGAAAATCAGCCCAAAGGCTGAGATCAGGCCACCTGGGGTCTACCCACAGAGCACACAGAACCTCTGGAAGACTACCCGCAGCACCAGGTGGGCCACCTGTCACACACCACAGTTCCCCACCATCCCTTCACAAGACTTCAGTATCTAAGGATTCCAGCATAGGACATCCATGCCCAAGGTGCTGTGCCCATGATCTGAGTGACAGATGAGCTGCTGCCTGGAATTGCAGTTGAGGTGAGAGAGTAGAGAATGGTTCAGGCAGATAATTCCAGCTCCAAAGTCTGAAAATGCTCCATTTCCCCTGGATGGGGGTTCATAAACAAGCCAAAGGCATTTTTTCCTCTCTAGCCTAAGAATGATCATCTTTTAAAAAACTCCAGTTACCACTCCCCTTAGCCAAATCCTCCTCATGCTTGGAGAATTTGCTCGGCAACACCTTCACTGTCTTCTCTGACCACTCCGTCCTTCTCCTACCCCTCTCTTCTCCTACCCTCATTGTATAAATCACTTATTTGATGCTTATCATTCACAATTTTTGATTGATAATTATTTTGTTATGTGTGGCTATTTGATCTCACAAGTACATTGTAAACTTCTGGAGGGCAGGGGCCATATCTTAGGCCTCTCTGTATCCTCCAAACTGTATAAGAGTGCTGAGCACATGTAGGTAATCAATAAACAAATCTTGATTGAGTAACTGTTTTATTGATTAAAAGGGGGATAAAGGGAGGGTAGGATGAAAGCTGGAATTTCCCTCCACTGGGTGGATAGAAAATTCTAAACTGTACTTGAAAACATTAAGAAAGCAAGCTCTTCCCTCTCCTCCCAGGCACTCTACCTCTTCATTTAGCCCAAGACTCCTCCCTTTTCACAATAATTGATTTATTTGCTAAATGGGTATTTGTTTATTTCTTTCATTCTCTGAACCACCATTACAAGGAAGGTGAAAGAAATATGTAGAGACATTTGGCAGATGGGGAAACCAAAGCCCACAAAAGGAAAGATTTTCCCAGGGCCACACAGCTTGTATTAATGCCCCAGTATTTTGACCCCCAAAATAGGATCTTGCTGATTCAATGATATTCACAGACAATAGGAAGAGCCTGTCACGGTGCCCCAAGCTGCCTGAGGAAAAAGTAACTTATGACCAGCAATGTAACAATAGGGCCACACAGAAACCCTTAGTCTCTCATAAGAGGGATCTAGGAAAGCAGGAGCAATTCACCAAATGTACCACCTGAAACTGCCTCTCTTGCTGTGCTGACCTGGCCAATCTGGACCTAGCCAGGTGGCCAACTGGGAGGGCTGTCAGGCTTCCATTCTAGTAAGACACACTTCAGTTCCAATTCCTTTAAATCTAGAGGTGTGGGAGTTTGGCAGGCTGGTGATTTGGCTCTGATCTAATCTCACAGGGAATTGACAAAGCCTAATTCTTCAAGCTGTTAACTGTGGCAACACTGCCTGTAATGGTGCCCCACAATATTCAGCTTCACCCAACACTGGACCTGAAGTCTCACTCTCCTGAGGATCTTCAGGGACATAGGAAATAGTTAATCAGACACCCCTGTTACAAGAGACACTCCCCCTACCCTCCTGAAATGAGCTTTCTTTGATGTAAACACTAGGACACCAGGCCAGTTAAGAGGCAGTAGCAGCTGGAAGGAATAGGGGAAGGGGAAAAAGTTGTCTGTACAGAAGCTTAAAAAAAGAGGTCATATCTCTGGTCTGGCACCCCAGAACCCTTGCCTGAGGAACACTAGAGGTTGGAAAACACTAGGGATTGCCTTGCTGACTCCGCTGTGCTTAGTGGGTAGCAGCGTGGTATGAGCTCTGAGGACCCACCATAGGGCAGACAATGCACTTTCAGATCCACCAATTTCCCATATCCTCCAAATACTCCAGGGAAACAGGTCTTTTACAGGAGACAAAATGGAGGCCTAAAGTGGAGAGTACGTTCTGTAAAGTCACAGAGTGTCAGGGTATGAACATAATTTTGAAGCTCTTCTCACAAAACTAAGGGTCTGGGATTCTAGTCTAGGGATGTAGGAGAGGCTTGCTCTTCAAACTCCTCCAGCCCTCTAGTCTCTCTGTCTGCTACTAGAATATAAGGACTTTTGAGGGAACTGTTGTTAGGTCCCCTTGAGTCTACTCTGACTCATAACACCCATAGGGTTTTCTTGATTGTAATCTTTAAGGAAGCTGATCACTGGGTCTTTTCCTGGCAGAGTGGCTGGGTGGGTTTAAATCACCCACCTTTCAGTTAGCAGCCGAGCACTTAACCTTTGCACCAACTGAACTCCTTTGAGGGAAACAGGGCACTTCATTTTATGAGGCTGGCCCTTGCTTATCTCCAAAGAGTCTATGGAAAGAGTTAGAAGTTCATCCTCAACTAGAAAAACCAGGGCAAATCTGACAAAGAGCAACTGTTTTCTTTGGCTGGTTGAGCAAGGAAAGCTTTGTAAGTAGTTTCCTAGAAATTCCCGAGTCTGGGTCCAAGTTTGAACAGCTTTCAGCTCACCCCATTGACTTCCATTATAAAGCAATTTAGATTAGCCACAGACCAAGGTAATAGTGAGTCATCGTGGATCTTAGTTATCTAGTGCTGCTATAACAGAAATACTGCAAGTAGGTGGCTTTAACAAACAGAAATGGATTTTCTCACAGTTTAGGAGGCTAGAAGTCTGAATTCAGGGTGCCAGCTGTAAGGGAAGGCTTTCTTTTTCTGTCAGCTCTGGCAGCAGGTCCTAGTGTCTTTAGTTTCTGCTTCTTGGTTCCTCGGAGATCTCCATGCGTCCTGGGATCTCATTTCCCCTACCTGTGCTTCTAGCTTGCATTTAATCTTTTATATCTCGAAAGAGACTGTCATTAACATAACAAACACAACCCATTCCCAAATGGGATTATAATCACAGATATAAACCAAAAAGCCTAATGCACTGCCATTGAGTCAGATCCAACTCCTAGCGACCCCTCCTTGGGTTTCCAAAGCAGCATCACCATGGAAGTAGATTGCCCAACCTTCCTTCCAAGGAGTGGGTGAGGTTAGGATTTACAACACTTATTCTGAGGGGACACAATTCAATCCATAACTTTGTGTTTATGTCTCAGCCTCATGGCTCTGACCCTTGCACAATGGGAGGCGTTTCTACCCTCCCTCACTCCTCTGATAATAAACCAAAAAACCAAACCTGCTGCCAATGAGTCTACTCCAATTCATAGTGATCCTATAAGACAGAGCAGAACTGCCCCATAGGGTTTCCAAGGCTTTAAGTCTTCATGGATGCAGACTCTCTCATCTTTCTCCCACAGAGTGGCTGGTGGATGGGGAACGGCCAACCTCTTGGTTAGCAGCTGAATGCTTTAACCACTGCATGATCAGAGCTCCTTATCCTCTGATAATAATATGACTCATATATTTTGTCCCCCTTGAGACCCTAGTAATCCACTGCTATGTGATCATTAATGGGAGAGAGACTGCAAATGGCTTCTTAATGGAAAGGTAGGCTCCACCGCTCTTACTGTGTCAGGCAGTGCACTAAGGACTTAGAGGGTGCTGGGGTTAAGAAGGTAGTCTGTGCCTTACAGGAGTTGACAGCTGATGTAGGAGATAAGATATGCCCACCTAACTGTGATACAAGACAAAATTTGGTCGGTGCTGTGAGACAGAAGCAAGTGATACAGGAGGATAGGAGCTTCAGGGGCTGATAAAAAGCTATGAATGTGCCCTTAATTCTCAATCCACATGAAATGAAAGCCTGGCACTATTAGAGCTACTGGGGAAGGATGATCAAAAGAAACCATTTCCTCCACCTGAGACTATGAGAAAAAAAAAGAAAATGGGAGAGAGCTGTGCTCAGGAGAAAAAAGGGAGA